TTAAACATCACTTGATCCTTTTTATTATTTTTTATTTATAATTTATTTATATAATTAGTAAGTTATATATAAATTGTCGATAACCATCTTCGGAATCGTGCCTGCAAAATCTGCTGCGTATGTATTTTTGCAACACCGTATATATTTCTTAAAAGTGTTCATTGTTCTAGATTTTGCAAAATTTATCATTTAAAAAATTCTTAGTTTTCCGTTCTTGTATATATGTCAGAAAAACGATAATATAGATCTAGAGAACTAGGAGGAGTTTATAGAGTCTCTCAAGTTAAAAAAGAGGTTTTGTCCCAATAAAATACGAATAATTTATTCTCAATTTAAATATTTTATGCTTATTATTCTATATACATGCAGAGAATCTCGTGTGTAAGGCCACAATAATTTGAAATGCGCCATTGCCGCTCGACGTCACGGGCTTATAGCCGAGGTGCGGCTACAGAAATAGCCCGTGACTCAATATTTAGGCAGAGTCGATTTGTTGCAGCATGCTTTCGTTATGGAGTTTCTTAGCTTGAGTCGACTCGATATGGTATGTACCAGCAACAGGAAATGTACATTGCCATATATACAATAATTTACCTTCAACTTATTTAGCTAGGCAGTAGTGTATTAAATAATAAAAAGAAATATTTTATATTTTATATTGGTATAATCGGGTTAAACTGACAAGAAATATTTCATACATAGGTACATATTTCAAGAGATTCAAAAATTTGAACACAATTTTCTGCAAGAATGTGGAAAAATTTATTTACGTAATTATTTATGTGTTATAAAAGTTTTCTTTTAAAATTAGAAAATAGGAAAAAAACATAAAGGATAAATAATCTTATGAGCAATTTATTTCTTTTCTATTGGACACGTCAATTTCTGTACTTCAACTTCATATGTATACAAAAATTATTCACGCATTTCTCGATTTACTAAAGATTGAAAGAACCATCTCAATAACAATTATCATTGTCTTTTTGCATTCGATGGAAACTGTATAATAATCACATAGAGAATTTTTTAAATACATTTTTTTTTATAAACTCCAAGTTTTTTCGAATAACTTTTTAAATTATGAAAAATAATTTTTATGAGTAAATGAAATTTAATCAAAAATATAACAAGCAGTACAAACCGATTTTTATTTGTAATCTTTCTCTTTTCAAAAGTTTTCTGAATATTATCAAAATTAAATAGAATTCATACTGTTCTTTTTAAGAGAAAACACAAAAATACGAATAAAATATTACTTGAAAATTAAATATATTTAATCAATTGAAATTAATTTGTGCACCATTAATGCGACGTCATTAATGCTAATATTAGATTCAGATATAAAAGTGTGACTAGATTGGAATAAAAATTTATTGAAGTTTTCAATTTTTTTTCATTATCATAACATAAGTTTATGACAATATGTTATCGTGTACATCTATATACTTATTAGTATTATTCGTTTTTTTACACAAGTTCAGTCGCAATAGAAGATAACGTACATACAAACGCGTAAGATTATAGTGTGTGATCTATGTATATATATATATATATATATATATATATATATATATATATGTTTAATGTATGCGCTATAATACATATTATTTATCGTAAATGTATATATGTACATTACATAATTTATATAATATAATGTACTTCAGATATACATGTATATAAAATACATTGTATATTATATGACATATGTAATGTACATATATACGTGCATCCGTTTTTTATAAGGATTGTCTCCTTCATCATCTTCGAACTGCTTTCGGGTTCTAATATTAATTCATGTCAGTAAACGCAAAATAAAAACGCAATCGTTCGAATCCTTAACTTTGTACTTTGCTTCTTTTGTTTCCATAACTAAATCATTATTTGGTATTGTGTAATGTGATATTAAAAATAAGATAATAAAATTCTTTACATTCATAATATACATTCGTCTATACCCCCTGGGTAATGATACATATTGTGTTAGCGGCGAATACGTTTTTATACCTGTTACGATCTAATGTTACAACATTATGTGTTTGAAACACAGTTCTTGATGCAATAAGTAAACAGTTAAATGCCTTTAATTGCGACAAATAAAAACAATTTCGGCGGTATGGCATGATATGAATGGATGGATAAAGAAAAGTTATGTATTCTATGTACACGCAGATTGGCGCTAGTTTAATAAGGAAGTATAATCTTTCATATAAAAGACATCTCAAAGCATCTCTACTGGCCTCTTACTTTTTTATATAAAACCAACTCTTGTGATAATTCTCAGAAGACGTCTTATTAGACGTTGCATTCATTCCATACACATAGAACTTTTGGTACGAATATATTCGATTCGACCGGATATCATCACCACAGTGACGGTGTCCTTTTATGTGCTGTCATCAGCTTCTCCGTGGCGGAATGATGGATCTCACGCTACTTTCATATATATGGTACGTTCTCGCATCTTGCAATGCTTAAGTTCCTTGAGCGCTCGCTGAGCCTCACTGGGCGACGAAAAAGCCACGCGCGCATCTCCCGTCGGCATACCCCTTTCGTTGTAGCGACGAATTACATTCTCCCGTTTCACATCAAAATCACCAAAGAACTCGATAATCTCGTTAATGTCCGCTTTGAACGGAACATTCTCCAGTGATAACACGCAGCCAGGTTTACCAAAACCTTCGACATAGTCCATGGACGGTGGATGACGACTCATCATGTGACGCGGCATACCCATTAAACCACCAGGCGGGCACCGAGGTCCAAAGCCGGTGTTGCCGAAACGCAGCATATGGCCCATCGGGCCGGAGAAGCGCGGTGGTCTCTGATGTTGCTCTTGCATCGGAAAGTGTTGCTGTTGTGTTTGCTGTTGCGCCTCCATCATGCCGAGAGTTTCAAGCATCTTAACTCGTGGTACCAACTCGATAGTTGGTATGTTCTTGCCAAGTGGTAAACCATTCTTGGTAATCGCGCGTTCCGCCTTCTCGGCCGAATCAAACTCGCAAAAGCATTCGCCGGCTGGTTTGCCTTGCTGATTGAGCATCATATGAATGCAGAGCGGTACAATGCCGATGTCCGAGAAGAAATCGAAAATGTCTCGGTCGATTGTCTGAAATGGCAAACCGCGCATGAGAACACAATCCGTTTGGTTCATGCTCGCTTGCTCGTGTTCGCGTTTCGCTTGTGCGAATTTCTCCTCGCTGATCGCAGTCGCAGTTACTTGCTTACTACCGATCTTAAGCGGCGTACTCAGAGATGATTTGGCATCCTCGAGTCGCGCAAATTGCACGTAAGCCATATACTGAGTGGTACCAGTCTCCTTACTATTGGTGATGAAGAGATCGTTGATCTTCCAGTCGTGGAACAGCTTGGCTATGTCCATCTCCTTGGTGAAAGACGGTAGATCGGTCAGCAGGATGCACATAGAATTCCTAATGTCGCCATCGGTGCCATCTTCCCTATTTTCGGGTGAGTAAGAATTCACTGCTTTATCGAAGATACTCTCGTCCAAATCGAGTACCTCTACCTCTGAACCTCGCACGTATCTCGTTGTGCTTAGCGCAAGTTCTTTGCCTTCGACCTTACCGAATTTGATATACGCAATACCTACGCGGTTACCATGATTATCGTTGATTATCTTCATGCCATCCTTCCTAATATAGATACCATGGAACGCATGGCGTAGATCCGCGTATGTTGCACTCAATGGCATATTGCGCACTTCCACACAATGGCCTCCACCGTTGCCGTTTTTATTCTCATTGGAGAATCTCGAACTGCTGGATTTTCTACCGGATGTTGGTCGATCGTTGTCATAGTTGCCAAAGTTGGAGGTGCTAGCTTGAAACGCATGTGGATTGCGACGGCCTTCGAGTTCTTGCACCTTGTTCAGGAAAGGATTATTCGGCCTGGTACCACGATAATTGCCAGTAGTGCCGTATTCCTGATTACCGAATTGATTCGATCGGCCGCCGGAGAATCGTCCCGTTTGGTCCATTCTACTTTGCTCGTTTTGATTCCAAGGTTCCTTGGGACGAGTTGCGAGACCACTCAAATTCGGTAGACTGGTGCTAGTGTTGAGATTCTGCGATAAGGATGTTATGCCCACTGTGTGCCCGGCGAGTGTCTGCATGTGCGGTTGCATGAGATTACCGACGCCGTTAAGACCGTTTATAGAGAATTGTCCAGGTTGCAACATCGACTGCTGACCCATCACGGGTGCACCAAAGCCAGCCATGGCTGAACGCTGAGTTTCCGAGTCTTGGGACAGAGCGGCGACGCCAGCTCCCAAGATACTTGGCGCCAACAAAGCGGCCTGCATCTGCGTTTGTGGTGGAACTTCCCACACGCCATTCTCGAGGGGTTTTTTCGATGTAGCCGTCGATGCCTTGTCCTTTTGGAACTGACCTACACATACGACTTCGCTGTTGTCATCCTCGTTAATATCCTTACGCCTGTCATTCGTAGAGTTTCTTTTTGAATCGCGATCGCGCGATCTCGTGCGATCACGCGATCTGGATCGATCTCGGCGACGACGCCGATCTCGTCTATCACGTTCTCGGTCTCGAGATCTACTACGATCTCGTCGTCGTCGGTCTCTCCCGCGGTCTCGATCGCGACGATCTCGGTCACGGTCACGGTCGCGCGATCGCGAGCGGTCCCGCGATCTTGATCGATCGCGTCTATCCTTTCGGTCCTTGCTCGACTCGCTGTCGTTGTCCTTGTCTCTTTTGTCCGTCGGGGAACCAGGTTGTTTGCCGGGAACCACAGGCGGTACCGCCACCGGCGTGGTTTGCATAATGCATTGTAAACTCAAAGTCTGCTGTCGAGCAGCTTCAATTACTTTTTGCATCTCGGTGCGTGAGCTTAGTAGCAGCTTGATCTTCATCTCCTTGATCTTGCCGCCATCATGCATCATTGCCTGGCGGGCGTCTTCATCGGTGCTGCAATAGCAAAACATGCCTGTGAGATTTGCCTGGCATCGCGATCTATTTTATTGATTTGCATAAAGTCGCTAAGAATCTAAGCTAGTAATGTGTGTGTGTGTGTGTGTGTGTGTGTGTGTGTGTGTGTGTGTGATGTGTGTGTGTGTGTGTGTGTGTGTGTGTGTGCGCGCGCGCTCTAGTTTAATATATATTTTTTTAATTACGGACGTTCTAACCCTCCACCAACAATGCAGGATCTTTTAAGATGCGATTTTTTTATTGTAATTTTTAAGAAAATCGAATAGATAGTGAAGTTCGATATCGTCTCTTAAAAAAGATAGTATAATAGAGTTGAGATTATATGTGTACAAAAATGACAGTATCTAATCGTTTATTACGAGGACGAATAAAATTCGTGATTGTGGCGTTAACGATTACAATTTCGTGCAAATAAAAAATCTAGATTTGATTTCATGTTCTACATTTTTCTGAAATTGATTTCAATAAATACTCTGATAGCACAGCCTGCGGAGACAGATTTTGAGCAGAGCCTGCTACCAATTTTTGATTGCAGAAGGCAACAAATTGTACACAGAATTCGTATTGTCAGATATTGTCAGTAAATTACTGTAAGAAATTTGATAAAGCCTGCTAGACATGCTATGTCAGCAGATTGGTGGCAGAAACTGAACAAAATTCTGCAGAACCTAATGGTAGATTGAGAGCAGAACCTGATTCAAGCAGACTTTGCTCGGTTTCTGTCACCAATCTGCTGACATAGCCTGTTAGCAGGCTTTGTCGACAAATCCACAGTCAAATGCGGACACAGATAGCTATGGTTTTGTAGTAGTCACAATCTGATCGAGTTTGCTGCCAATTAGGCTACAAATTGCTAACATTTTGCTGTCAGGGTATATAAAGGTGTTACCTTAAATTTTTTTGTATGTATTTTTTTACTGATTTAATTGCAGAATCAATAATTATGGAGATAATTTTTCCAGAAAAAACTTGTTAAATTAAAGAAATGCAAAAGATGATTTTGCCACAGAGCGAATGATAGGAAAACTATGTACTATGTATGTTTTTGAATGGCAAATTGACAGCAAGAAACATCGTATACATTATTTACTATACAGGTAGTGTGTCGTACAATATTTTTATTTTGGTTATAAAAATGATTTTTTTATGAAAAAAAAAACTTGATTTTTTAGTCACAAAAATTTTCATTTCCAAATACTAAAATAATATTCAATACTTTTTAAGGTTAACATCATTGTGCGTCTGATGGGTTTTTTTTTCTAAAATATGTATCCTCTATATTGTAGACTAAAAGAACTTTTTATTTACTCATAAAAATTATAAATTTTTTAATCATATATTTTTAACTGAGATATATGTATATATATATATGTTCTTTCAAAATTTTGACTTACATTTAAATTAGTAAAAATAAATAAAATACAATTTGGTGGTTTTTATCATGATAAAAATTTGTTAAAGGTTCCACAAGCGTACACGATTTTTTCAAATTTTTTTACAGTTCAGAACAATAAAAAAATCTATTGTGCTCAATAACCTAGGTTGTATACTTATAATCGAAAATTTTTAATGGAAGGTTTATAATTTCTCCTTAGGCTTTAGTTCTAGAATATTTCTCGAGTGTCTTTGAATATCATTTTATTCTTGTTTAACATTTGGTAAACATGAAAGATAAAATAATACTTGGAGAAAGTCAAGTATTATTTTCAAACATAGCCTTATCATGTCAGAATTGTACACCAAAAGAAATGATCATTTGGCAGATATTATTTATGCTATATGTACGGATATTTAGTTTTGTCTTTACGTTGGATAATTTTAAATCGTTTTGGACACGCGCGCGCGATAAGTGATAAAAAAGATATAATTATTACACTATTACTGTAATTATTATTGTATAATAACGAGATCCAATAATAACGAAAATTAATTTCCTACTTTATGTATTTATATTGACAAGTTGTTATAAGTTTTTAATTACGTAATATTCTTTCGTAATAATAATCCATAATTAAGTTTCTACTGCAATAAAATTAGTTGTAAGTTAAACAAAAAAACTTTTACCTTTTATTAGAAATCATTTATAAATAGCTAATCGTTGTGAATCGAGTTTTATTTAACATAAGCGTAAATGATACATCTATTGGACATATACAAGATTCTATTCAAGAGATTTAGATTATGGATTTATCATTTCATGTATACGTCATTGGAAGCAATTTAATAAAATCACATAAAGTAAATAAAATATAAATTGGGTTTATCTACCTACATACTTGTTAAATAAACGATGTAGGAAATAAGATGTAAATACATTCATTATATGAATTATATAATTGATACATTTCTTTTTTTGGACGAGAATTTATGTAGTAGTAATTACCTGAATGCGATAAACGCATCTCCCAATTCGCCACCGACAATATGAACTCCTCCCTCTGGGATACTTAGACCTCTGAAAAATTGGCGTATGTCCAATGCATTGGCGGACCACGCTAGATTTTGTAGTCTGATTATGACGCTCATTTTCAAAGGTTGTTCGATGCTTGTATCTGCAACCGAACCGAGAGGCAACGAAATTAAGCGGCGGAGAGAAGAGACATCTTCGATGAATCTATGTCGCAATAGCCAAGTTGTTCGCAGTTAGCAAATAGATTGCTGAGAATTGGTTGTGAGTTTGGCAAATACATATATTTATCTATATATTAAGTGTACAAATTAGTTCGGTCCGTTTTTTGTGTTCAAAAATGCATTTATTTCAAAACAAAATGAATGAACAAATTAATTAAGGTATTGTCCATCGCTGGCTACTACTTTTTCCCATCTCTCAAGGCAATTTTCGAATTCCATCTCGAAAAAATAACTCGTCTTTGGAGGCGATCATCTTTTGAAAAACGGACCGAATAATTTGTACTCCCAATATATTCGATATACGCATGCTTATATAAAAAAAGGACTAAAATATATATCTTTTTAAACATGTCTTTATTTATTTTCGCATCACATTGTAATTTTATATATTCCTGCTCTTTGCATAGAATTTAATAGGGTAATAAATGTTATTACATCAGATTGTTACAATATTTATGTGTATTACATGATTTACATTTTATTTTAACAATATCGTTTATTTTCACAATTTTCCGTATTTGGTACATAGAAACTATTCTTTAATCAATTTAGTCTTACATTATATTACGAGTATGCACATATACTCATTACGTTATAATGATTGTTTTTTTTTTATATTACTTTTTTTGGTTATCTTTTAATTCTATTTCTTTCATGTTTGCCTTGTTTCAACGAACTGAAATACTTTTTTAGGCTTTTCTTTTCTTTCGATTGTTGCTTTACTTATTTCTCCCAAGAAATATTTCCAATCAAAAAGACCAAAATTTTTATTTTCTCGTTTCTCTTGGACTAAACTATATTCTAACAAATTACAATGAATTCACGAATAATGATCATAAGATACTTCAAATTAATTTTTATCTAAGATTGTCTATGTGTATCCCTCCCCAGAATATTTCTTCTTATATTATTTTGATAAATTAGATTGAAGATAATCAAAAGAAACGACCGACAAATCAAACACATGTGGTTGACACACACACACACACACACACACACACACACACACACACACACACA